GATCAACTGAAGACTGCTAAAAAACAAAAACATAACCTTCGATGCCCAGCTCCATCTGGCCTGAACTTGAAAATGCCGTAAAAATGGGGTAAGAGATAAGAGGAAATCTGGGATAAAGTTTCAACCAAAATGATATAATCAATGAAAGCCAAAGGATTTGCAGAAAACGAAGGAATCAGAACTTTTCAGGGTCTGAGTGCTGGTACTACAGTTTATGAAAAAGGAAGGCTTATCAATGCGCACAAAAACAACTATTTGCACAGAAAATGCCAGCAGATTATGAAGAAAAAATCTAGCATTTCATAGGTTTGTTATAAATGCACGCAAGAAAACTTCTTTTGAGCTCGGTCAAATAGGAAATATGGATGAAATTCCACTCACATCTGATGAACCATCCAACAAGGCTGTGAGTATTAAAGGGTCTAAATCAATAACCATTAACACCACAGGTCATGAAAAAACCCAATATACGGTAGTTCTAACATGTTAAGCTGATGGCACAAAACTACCGCCAGTTTTCATATTCAAAAGAAAAACTCATCCGAAAGAAAAACTTCCAACGGGTTCATCCAAAAGGCTGGATGGACGAAGCTGGAATAAAACTGTGGTTACAGAGCGTATGGAGCGAGGCAACCTGGTGGACTCTTAAGAAAACCCTCTCTTTTGGTTTTGGATCAGTTTAGCGCCCATAGAACTGAAACCATAAAGAATAAAGGTTACTTTTCCGTTTTGCCGGCACAGGTGATAGAATCGCCAATGATGGTACAACTGGTTCCAAATGGAATGTCCTCGCTGGTAACCTTTTACGCCTCATTTCAAAACAAGTACCAGCGTTTCTTATCAGATTGATTGTTTCTTTCAATACTGCCATACAGTTTCATAGAATTTTTACCAGATAGTTCAATTTTATGCCCTAAGGCCATTCGCAATAAATAAGTCAATTAGGATGCAAGCACACCGTTCACCCGAAGGATTAAGTTGCATGAATTCTAATGAGAATCCACTAGGGAAGCAAAGGACTGCGGTTTTCCATATTTTCTGAGTAAGCTATTCGTACGAACTGAAATAATTCTTGCATTTAAACTTGTATTACAAATTAAGATTTAACTTGAAATTAATGTAGATAATTACTGAGAGAATTAGATTTTTGTAGCGCAGTTTACGTGAGATGAGATCGCTTGGGGTCACGTGATATGAACCGGCGAATCAGGATGTAGAACCATGAGAGCGTAGTAAGTTCTTAAATTAATATCCTTTTACGAATTTATTGTTTTTATTTATTAGCTTCTTACAAAAATTTAAAAGGCATTAAAATGTTTATACCTTTAAAATAAAAAATTCTTGGAACTAACATTTGTTAACATTTTCTATGTGTATACTGTATGTAGTTGCTAATAAAGTCTGCTGGCGAGATTTGCGCCGGGCGAAACGGAAAAGTACCGAATAAAGAGAATTAAAAACCCAGATAGCTGTCATTCCTGGTGGACTGACTAGCCAATTGCAGCCTTTAGATGCATCGGTGAATAAGCCATTTAAGGAAAAAGTGTGAGAACGATGGAACAAGTGGATAGGAGAGCCACATCACGCCCTCACACCCTCAGTTAGATTGAAGCGGCCCTCTATTTCACAAGTGTGTGAGTCGGTAAAAAGATCTTGGGGGGACGTAAAGGCTGAAGTAATTGTTAAGTCCTTTAAGAAGTGCAGAATCAGTAATGCTCTTGACGGAACAGAAGACGACGCATTATTCGAAGAAGGTGATATTAGCGATTACGGAAACAATAGTGATGACGATGTTCTCGTTTTCGATGATGATGATAGTGAAAAGGATTTTTATGGTTTTAAAAGTGATAGGCGACGGTTCCTTGAATCGTGTTTTTGTTTGTTTCTGCTTTATTGTTGTATGTTGATTGCTTGCTTTCCTTCATTATTCATTATTGAAATTTACATATCATGTTCAAAATAGCTTGTTTTTTTAATTTTCCTTAAAAATTGTTTGGTTGCTTCAATGATGTTTATTTGGCTTTACGAACATGAGAAACTAAAAGAAACTACTTTTAAGTTATTGTGGTACGTGCTATCGGTGCGCAATGAAATGGAAGTTGATCTGTCAGACTATCCTTATCTTCAGGGCAGATGTTTTATTTGGCTTATAATTCCTTACTAAATGTGTATTTCATCTCAATGTACTCTGTATTTGATATGATTTAAATCAAATTACTTGTCATTATAAAATCATGAATAACATCAATAGTTTTCTGTTGCAATTTTCTATTTTACTATTGCGTAATGTATGCTTTGGAGCGTGTTGAATATATTAATAAAGTAAAAACTTACTATTAAGCTTTTTTTTTTTTTTTTTTGTAAATTTTTATACCCTTTAGATCATATGCTCTTCATTTCTAAATTATGTTTTCATATTTTTAATTTTGTAATTCTGAATTGCCATCTTACCAGATTTAAACTGATGATCTATAATCTGGAAAAATCGATAATCCGGAATTGCCGAAGTCCAGACGAGTCCGGATTAACGACTTTTGACTGTATGCATTCTTCACTTTTTTTAATCTACTTCATTTAAATTTTCTTAAGATGCAATTCATAATTCCAAGTGAATTAATATTCTATGAAAATGGTTAAGTAGAGTATGTTACTATCAGAACATTCAGTGCCATTATTTAATTTTGTTTTCAGAAATGCTCGTCACTTTGTATCTTGTTACCTTACTAGAATTGGGCATGTAAGATAGAAACTGTGACTGAGCTCATTGTATCTTAGATATTGGCTGTCCCCCTAACCTTCTTAAAAATTATCCATGAAAATATTTCATTTCTTTCTGTAAGCTAATAAAAATTTTAAAAAAAAATTGAGGATTTTTTTTAGATTATTTGAAATCAGTTATCAAATCCTTTATCCAATGACAACTTTATGGACATTATTGAAAAAACAAATGCTATTTACTTACAAAACAGCCTCTTCAGTTAGTCACCAAAACAGACAAACTTAATTACATCTGTAAAATGTAAATTCCAGATGTCTGCAAAGGCTTATTCAATAGCTGCTTTTATGAGGGAATACCAAAAAGACTTTTATAGATGTACATGTATGTCTAAATTTTGCATTAGGATATGTTATTTTACATTGTTACATTATGTTAATTTTATATTTAGTTTTTTTTTTTTTTTTTTTGTTTATACTTTTAGTCAAACATTGCTAGTAAAGCAGAATGGTCTTTTTCTTATGTGACATGAGCCAATTTTTTTTAGCAGACCTTTCACACAGACATCTTCCTAAGCTGCTAAACCTTTGTGTGTTTTGCCTTGGTAAATAATGTATAATAAAAGAAGAAATAAACATAATATTCATCTTTGTTATTTGCTTGAATTTAGACTAATGCTGACTTAATTGTTATATTTTGAAATAAAGTTGTATAAAAGATAGTTGGTCGAGGAAGTTTGTCAGATTTGTATATTCTTTGAATTTTTTAATATTTTCTGTATTTTATTTATGAATGTTCAGCTGCTCAATTATTAAATATAGTTACAAAACGAGTATTTCACAATTTTACAATTACTTTTTTAATGTTAATAACATTGTAAACTTTCAAAATATTAAAAAAAAAAGCTATTTTCTGATTATTCACACTCTGATGAAAAGTATTCATGAGGCACATACTATGTCAGCAAAATAGGTAACCGATGATGTTTTCAAAATATACTTATGTGGCAACTTAGGTAGTATGTGCTTGTGTGTGAGCATGGATTTCTACCTTTATATTCAATGGTCATTAGTGTTTATTTCTGTTGCTTTGAGTGCACTTTTGCCCTTGAAAGACATCTGTGGAGTTTGTCAGCTAATAAAATAAAGCATTGCAATTCTTCAGAAATATGTTTTGCCCAGTAATAAAGAGTTAAAAAAAGTCACATTGCATAAAGTTGTATTTAAATAATTGTATTTCATGGATTAAAATTTGTGCACCTAAGCTGAATATGTGCAGTTCTCTAACACTTTTTTTAAGATCATTATGTGATCAAGAGATCAGATCATAGTGTACAAGGGACAAATTACATAAGCAATCATTATATATGTTATGGATGTTTTTTTGCTATTTAAATTTTATTGATTCATTGCTCTTTTATGAGATTCTTAGTTTGTCATCATTATCAAATGGCTGTTGTCTTTTATCTCTTTGACATATTAAATTTGACATACTAAAATTAGTCACCAACCTGGTGACGACTTTTTGGATGAGAGTGCGAATAACCAAAAAGTACTCTGTACCCCCTCCCAAATGCACGAAAGGAAAACAAAAGGAAGTTTTTATTAAAAATCTAAGCTCTAATAATAATTTCATTTATTTATGTTACTTTCAATTATAATACTGGGTACTTATCTATTAACTCTGGCAATTATGCTCATTATAATCCATCAGTTAAGTAATATAGGCAAACTGTGATTTTTTTCCTTTAAGCTCAATTTCAAAATATATGGAAAAAATGGGACAAGATTTCTGGAAGAATGTAGTGATTTGCTAAAGAGAATTATGATGAGATGTGTGTGATAGTTAGCTGGTATGCAATGCCACATTTGTGCATTTCTATTATAATGTTTCTTAAGCAAGAACAGATTGATGTGTACATGTTAAAAACAGGACAAAATGCCTCAATAGGTTTTTCAAAAGAGACGTTTTTCATTTTTTAATATATTGTATAATCCTTAATTAACAATTAGAATTTTCATTTTAAATTGCTAAAGTGTGTTTCATGATAAATATTGATAGTTCAGCAATCTTTTTAAAAAAGCCATGAAAATCAATTTGCAACTGATAAATAACTTTCAATTTTTATCAACAAAAAATTGCCAATTGCACCAAGGTGATAATGCTAATATGTAAGTATGTAAATGCTGATCCCTGTTTTTAGGTTTACATTTTAATGAAAAATTTTCTTCTGTATTTTATTTGTTTCAAATTAATGTATTTTTTTTCTTTCTTTCTTTTTAAGTTTCAACAGTGGCTTAAAGAATTGTTTGAAGGGGAGACAGAAAGTATTCCTGAATTTATACCAGATGAAAACAGTTTGAAATTGCTGAGTAGTATTATCTCAAAGAATAAAGAAGCAGAAAAGGATGCAAAAGAAGTCATAGAAGCTGAAAAACGACTTGCAGAATATTATGATAACCAAAGTTTGTTTTAATCTGTTATTTCAAATCCTAATGCTATAAAATATTTTTTGTTTTAATTAAGTGAAAACAATTATGAAAGTTAATTTTTTTATGCTTTAGATCAGGGTTTCTTAAACTTTTTTCAGTTGCGATCCCTTTTTATCACTGAGACTTTTTTGTGGCCCTCAGGACCCCATAAGTATTGTGCAAATTCAACACACACGTGAGTGAAACTGTCAATTTTTTCACTTGTACTGTAATATACTATTGCAGTTTTAGATCATTGACTTTAATTTCTAATTTTAAGACATAGAGCAATGGGAAAATTTTAAATACATAACAGACAGCATCACTTGCAAAGCAAAGAAAATGAACATTTATATTATAAAAAGAATGCTTCAAAACATTTTTGTTTTTTTTTTCTTTGTCTGTATTATCTTATCTTTATCTATTTTCAGATACATTGTGTATGTAAAATTATTATAATAAGTTAAAGAAATATCAAAACTACTAAAATTTTTAGCGACCCTCGGCTGCAGGTCCCGTGACCCTAAATCTAAAGCCTTTCTGTCTTAAAAAATGGTAATATATTTCAGAAACAATACATCTTTCTGAAATGTGAGATTTCAAAATTAATGCTTGTCATATGATTTTTATAAAATGCTAATGATGCACAATTGCAAGAGTGAAATTAAAGTCTTTCATTTAATAGTAATGAAAAATTTACAAAAAACTTTCAGTCAACCTATATTAACTCTCTGAGTGGCAGGCCTGGCTTTACCTAATCATGAGACTTTTTGTGACTTGGTTTATATTAACTTATAATTTAAGATATTGTGCTTTTGTACTTTTTTAATAATTTAAATGTCATCTTGATAAATGTAAGTTTATGAAAATAGAGACTGAAGCAAGTAATTATACAAATTTAGTTAATAAATGCTAAATTTACGGCATTTACTAGCTTCATGACGGATCCAAAAACCCGTGCCACTCAGAGGGTTAATAAAGTGAAGCCATAACTTTGTAACCTATCATCAGTACTGTAAATTCTCACTCTTCTCGTGCTTCTTTGTGCTACTGGTATGCTATCTGCCACCCCTTTCCCCAAGAGTTCCAATTACAGATCTGTGAATATGTGAAATGTAAGCTAATATAGTTCTGAGATACAAGACTTACACCATTGCAGCTATTGTGTTTCAAGAATGTTTTGTCAAGAATAAAGGAACACAGCTGATCAGAACTTGCTCACGTAACCATCCAATTTTTATCATTGTCAGGTATGACAAAATCAACAATGATGTAGCATTAGGTGGCAGAAATAAAATTTGCATGTTTATATGTTCCAAGACAGGATGGTTAAGTGCATGGCTGAGAATCAGAACTTAAAATTCAAGATCTTTCACATCATATAAAGTCTGACTTCTGGGATGAAACATTTGCTAAACCATTCTGTAAAAATAGCAGTGTTCGCCCATGCTTTCTTGCTTGCCATCCAGTGAACAGGCAGTTTATCGATTTCTACACTTCTCATTGAACATGGATTTAGGGCTGGATTTACAAGCAGTGATTTCAACATGCAATCTTCTGAAGTGTTCGAGCAAAGTAATAAGGTCACACAATCCTTAGCTACTTAAAACTACCAGCAGTTTTCTGTGATTTGGTTATGTACATTCTGTTCAGCATACGGTTTTGGAACGGACCATTTTCATCTGCATTTCATATTTGATCAGGACTATATCTTGCATCTTCAATAATTGTAGAAAGTTCTTACTGGTATCTTTTTTTGTGACTTATGTTCTCTGCATATTACCAGACCTTTTCCACGTTTTCCTTGACAATATCTCTTATATAGTATAATGATGAATTAATGTTTTTACTCCTGAACATACCAACTTCCTATTGCAGCTTCATTTTTCTTAATACTGTAAAAGCCTCAGTATCCGGCATTCAGCTAACTAAAATTTTAAATTAACCGTAAAGTTTCAGAATTTCAGTTTTTGCTTTTAAACATCCTTTCTAAAAACGAGGGACTTGTAAAGCCATCATAAAATACGTACAAGACTTTTGAAATCCCGCCAATAAATTCTAACCTGCAAATAGAATTACAGGCTTTCTTTTAGAAAACATTGCTTACACTTCTCTTCCACTGTTGTATCCGTCATATTATTCCAAGAATTCATACTTTGAATAGCATATATCTCACAAGAAGAAAAGTGTGTAGTTACTACCAAAAATCTTCAGATGAAGACTCCTTATACAAGTTCTTCAAAAAAGTATTACTATGGCATGGGAGCATATGAGAGGATAGGAAGTTCAAAATAGGTGTTTAGTTTATCTATCATGATCACTACTCTTGCCAGTATGTTTAACAGGGATGATCGCTAGAGCAACAGGTGTATTTCACTAGAGTAATAAGATTTCACAAGCTGTATTAAATGCAGTATGAGCAAAAATCTTATAATTTTTTTTTTTAAATTGTTATTTGATGTGCTTTCCCATCAACCATTTTTGGCAAACAAAAACTGTTGCCAAATAATGTGATTTAGTGCCTATAATGTATAAGTGTAATGTCACAACAAAGGCATAAGATCTTCATCTTAGTTTTATGTAAAGCAGATTAATTCTTGGTAAACTGGTTTTGTTTTTCTGAAGAAGATATAAGTTAATTTATCTTCTGTTTATCTGTTTACCTTTGCAGTTTGAAAAAAATGGGTAAAGTTTGGGATCTCCCATTTGTGGAACAGCATAGAGTATTTTTGAAATTACAGGATCCCGGCTTCAAGAAAATGTGTTTTAATGGCCACAATAGACAATTTTATTTTAAATGAACAGTGGGGAGGTTGCAGAGTGAAAAATAATATGCAATTTAAAATTTTATATGCTATATCCATAACTTGATGTGTGCAAAAGTACTTTCCTACATATGTAGCACCTTGTCCAGTTGGGATACTATCTAAAATTTGAATTTTAAATTCCAAAGAAACTGCTTCCTTTTTGTTTTGGTAGTAGGTGAATTATATGTTATTTTAACAGGGCTACCAAACGATATCTGTTATTAATAAAAATAAAAGCTTTGAAAACCTTTGTAAACTGGAAATTTATTGACTCTCGTCAAAATTAACAAGTTTATGCGTGTACAGATTTCATAAAAGATTCTCTAACTTTGGAATAGAACTGTATCCTAAATGGCTTCTAAAGGCTTATCCTTCCTCTTTAATTAAATAAAAATTTCTTGCCGTGGTTCAAAGGTATGTGATAAATCATTACCATGAGAGACCCATCATGCAGTGCTATAGTACAACAAAGATGAGTGTTCGACTCCCATATCCTTACAGTTTTTAAAAAACTACTTTCAATGGACGAGATTTTATAAAATTTATCGCATTCTAACACCTGATTCAGTGCAGGACTTGGATGATTTGGTGAAAGCGCTTCCATTTGAATAATGCGATGCGTCCACAATGCATTTGGTAATTTGCTTCGAATAAGTGTAATCTTTCGTAGCAGCCAGACATGGACCAAGCTCCATCATTACAGACACCAATACCATTTAAATTATTATCAGATATGACTGCATCAAGAATCTCAAACAGATCCTGAGCATTCGCTCCTGCAGTGATATTTTTATAAAACAAAAGGTCTTCTTTAATAATATAAATAATAATTATTATTATTTCTTCTTTAATAATATAAATAATAATTATTATTATTTCTTCTTTAATAATAAAATGCATGTAGCATATCAAACGAGCATCCTTATTATTATTATCCATAGCCTTATCTAGACGCAATCCAAATTCCACTCCTTTAATTTTTTCAATTAATTGATATCCTCCACCACATGTTGTATTCTCCAACTAATTGTGTTATTGGAAAAGGCACTTTTAATAGCAGCTTACCAGCAGATTCTCCAAACTTCATGTTCACCTTATCTACAGCAGCTGGTAGGATAAGTTCTGCAGTGGTATGAGGCTTCTTATGTTTTGCGATTCTGTAAGCCACATTATAAGATGCTAGCAAAGCACTGTTTAATAGTGATACAATCTTAAGAAATGTACTTTTTTATTCTTTCAGTTAGTTTAACTTCCTGGCAAAAATCACCATGTTTGCCAATGATGCTGTGGTAATTAACTTCTAAATGGCGCTTCAGTTTCCTTGGAAGCATACACTCGACTGCCAAAACTTTCATACTCAATACAAATTGTGGTCTCGCTCTTCATTATTTATTTCTATTGATGTAAAACCAAACTGTAAATAACTGTCATCATATGTATGATATTTTCTTTTCTTCACAGATTTGTAACTGGTTGAAGACATACTTTCTTTTTTTTGAGGTATTACGTTTATTACTGTTCAAAAATCAGATCATTATCAAAGATACAAGAGCAAAGTATCAAAGACAATAAACAAGAAGTAATATAATACTACTACATGAACTAATTTATGCCACTATTCATGTATATGAAGCGCTGAGTGTAATTTCAGAATCAGTAAATTTTGGAATTTTTAATTGCATTGGCATTTTAAAATTTCATCTTCTGTAGAATGAAGATAGAAATAGAGAACATAGAAATATATTCTAGTTCAAAAGATTTAAATATATATAAAGGTTGCATTGAGAAGTATGATAAAAGAGTAAAAATATGCCATCAATAACTGAATTTCTGCAACTACTTCATCAGTTCTCTACTAGACAACTTTGAGAAGACAGTGACCGCTATAAGTCAAAGTTAATCTTTTTATAGAGCCACAAATTTGCAATAGTGTTTAAATGGCATATTTCGATTCACTTAGTGCTATTTTTATTGCTCTGTATATGTTCTGAAATGTAATATTATTTCTATCTACTCTGTATTTATTTGTATGTTTTGAAACATTATTTGTATATCTACAAGATAGTTTTTTTTAAAGAATTCTCATAAAATATAAATGACTAATTTTATGAAAATTTCTAAATAAAATGAAATGTAAAATTAAGTATGTTAAATGCATGGATTCTTTTAGGTAATGAAATGTGTGAAATTCTGAATGGTAATCTACTGCCTTTAAATCATGAAGTGTCAGAAAGGGTAGAAAAACTTGCTGCTGTAGCATACAAAATGAATTTGAAAGAGCCTACTATTACAAAGTAAGTTAAATATTAAGTTATTCAGCACAAGAATTAAAAAGATCTCATTTTGATATTAAATTGAAAAGTGAAGAAATAAAATAAACTAGAATCACTGAGAAAAGTAATTTTTCTTGTAATATATTCAAGATATAAATGTGAAAGTAAAGAAATTTTGTTCATTCATGTTAAAATTTTATTTCATACATTTAAATTGTTAACATTAAAATATTACTACTAGTAGAAAATATAAAAATAGTAAATAATAGTAAATATAATTGCCTTATTTCCTGACGTATTTTCCTCCCTTGTGTATTTGCTTCTAGATTTTTGGTGCCAGGCTCTAAAAATAAATTAATAATAATAATAAAAAATTCATGTAATATCTCCTTTCCTCAGTGTGTTCAGAGAATGAACCCCTCTAATTTTAAAATGGATTTGTCCACACAGTGATTCTTGTCATTTTTCTCAAACTACTAGCAAAGGTCATGCAAAACTTTTCCATTCTAATTTTTTAACTTTATGCCAGTATATTTCAAGAACCAGCCAGTCACAGCAAAGCAAACACGAACTGATATTCAGTCTATGATTTCATCGAGTCAGCGGCACATACACCTTCTCAAATTATTTATAGATGATTTGAGGCCTAAGGAGTACCAGCAGAAACAATAAGAGCAGGCAAGATTCCATTTACAAAGAAGTAGAAAAGAATATATCTTATTAGGTATTGTAATGTTAATATTAATATGTATTCTTATTAGAATTTAGGTGTCTTTTAAAAAAATAATCTTGTCATAGTTACTTATAATTTACCCACGACTGCTTTTCATTTGTTATGTTCTTATTATAGCTGTGTCCTTCGGAGATTAAATTATTTCCATAATTTTCCCTTTTGATTTTTATACAGTAAAATTAATGAAAATAAAGGGGAAAAGTATAAAGGATGCTAGGAAATAAGGTGTTATTTTTTGTTTGATGCTTATAGTGTTTTAATATTGTAATTAAATTAGTAGTTGTTAGCATCAGTAGTTTTATTTAAAAATCTCATTATATTTATTGTAGAAAATATTATTTTCCTTCCTCTGTAATTATTCAATATTATTAATGTACACCATGCGTCTACAAAGTTTTAGAATTGAATTACATCAGATAATTGTCCAAAGCTATCAAATGATAACTATAGGAATGCATGGGGTATCAAGTTAGCCAGAAACTGAATATTCATTTTGATTTTGTGCTAGATATTTGGTTACCCTCTGTTTCAGTGTCAAATTTAATGTAGCATACAATAATGTAGAATTTTTACAACATATTTAATGTATTATAAGTCACTGAATATCTCGTTGAAATGTCGGTAGAAATAAATGAGAAAGTATAGAGTATTCTAAAAAAGGAGGTTTAAGAGAAAATGTTGAAATTTCAGCTGTGTGTGAATAATAACTTCATTAGTTATATAAGAAATTTAAACTCAATGAAATTCAGTGAAGATTTTTGAGCTATTATAGATAAATGATTAATTTCAAATTGTCTATTTTCAAAACATCCAGTTTCACTGAATCAATTATGCGGATGTCCAAACATGGTATAAGCAGGCATGTGTCTGTTGGAAAACTAGGAATGATATAGTTCCCTAGTACTTGTACCACTGCAATTAACTGCCTGTAAACCAGGTGCATATCCGCCATTTCTCTGTTCGTATAACGATTCATATTTCCTTATGCCCATACATCCAAAACACACTTTTTGTTGCTTCATCTTGGCTAGCTTTTCTCATGATCTCTAGCACCCTCTTGCATGTCTGGGTTGCACATGCGGCCATATGTTCCTATATGATTTTCTGTTCTTATGATGTTCCTGACCTATAGGTAGATTTTTGAACAATAGTTCTGAATCACCCTGTATGTTGAGTACCTGCTTTATTTCCTCTTCTCTTATCCCCTCCAGTAGGGATTAAAAGGAAGTGGCTAAAAATATTTTACTTTTATTAATTGGGGAGGAGGGTAAGAAATTTTCTATCAAAATTCTCTCAAAATAATGAAATTAAAAATTTGGGCTGTGTTAACAAGATCTACAAATCCTTTTTGAGATTAATTTCCAGAAATAGCTTATAGTTGAAACATACAGGCTATGCAAATAGATGACCAACCAATATTTGTTCAATAGTTGATTACCTCCATGAGCTCATTATAGAAAGAGAAACATCATTGTTGCATTGCTGGAAAATGAATGCAGTTAATTATTATAATGTACCTAAAATGATAAAAAAAAAATATCTCATCAGTTGGGAATATAAAAAAAAAGGATAGCTTTCAAAAATGGATGTATTTTATGGAGGGTAACACAATTTGGGCAAAAAGTACTGTTACTATTTTTTACTCCATCTTTCACCAATTATGAAAATGACTAAAATGTATTGTTGCGTGCGGACGTGTTTGTTATGAAATGAATGCACAAGTCCAATAAAAAATGAACAAAAATTTATTATTCTAACAACAAATATGATTAAATGTCCTCAAGTAATCGTGCAGTATCACAATATATCACAGTAGTTATCTTTTAACTACTCAAACGTTCAAAAGAACTCAATTCAAAACAGCTAAAGAAAGCTAATCCGCGAATTCACTTCAATCAACAAGAGCAGTTTTCTAAACAACAGCAAACTAAGTAATTACTACGAACTGAGATGTTTTCCTCTTTTTATAAGATTTTAAAATCACGCGCTAGAATTCTCTAATACTTTCTTGAAATCAAAAAGAGATATTTATTTAGACTAGAAGAGAAACACGCTAATGTTACAATCAAAATCGTAAAAACAACCTTGTATTTAGCGTAGGTATAATAAAACACTCAATCGATTTCGAGGGCAACTAAAGGTCCCTCCTCATCAGGAGAAAGAAATACTTAGAAAGAAGAAAATAAAGGAGAAGGAGTCTCAGAAACACGTGGTCCTTGTCAGCACTGCACGTGGTTATAACTGGATTTTTAATCAGAGTTGCACTGGCCGCCTACTTTTACTGAGCCAGGCTATCTGATCAAGCAAGAAAAATTAGCAAAGTTAAAATAGGGAGCGAGGGGCAAATGCACCTTCACACTCAAAATCTGAACTTCAAATAATGGAAAGCAACCACTGAACGGATTTTTATACCTTCTGGTAGTACAAACGCGAGGAGGTCGCCTTCTATCGGCAAAAATAACTGAATTAAGATAGTAGAATTTTAAAGGCATTAGGAAGGACTGGATTGGACTTCAAATCATTAACTAAACCTGCTAAATCTTTGTGAATGTGAAAAGCCTCAAGAAAATCCAATTCACCTATGGAAGAAGCCTTTTGGATAATTTTTGCAGACCCAAAATCAAAATTATGGTTAAATGTCCAACTATGATATGCTATTGAAGACTTGTTAATTTATGATATGGAAGCACCACAAGGTCATTAATATTATTTCTAACAGTGGAATGTCTTCTTTGATGGGAATCTGAAAATTTTTTAACGGCTTTATCAATAATCACGTGCTTCCATTTAATTCTTCTGTTAGCTATAAAATTGCACAGATTCTCTAGAAATTCAATTTTCAAGTCGGTTTCTCCCCTATTAATAAAATTCACCCTTCGATTCTAAAAGATTGCGTTTCTGTCTTGAATTCTTGGGGAATTTATAGTATATCGTGTCAGTGTGGTTTAAGATATATTGGCCAAACAAAAAGAGCATTGGAGTTTCGTATCAAGGAACATGAATCTTATGTCAGAAAAGGTGAAATTAACAAGTCTTCAATAGCGTATCATAGTTGGACATTTAACCATAATTTTGACTTTGGGTCTGCAAAAATTATCCAAAAGGCTTCTTCCATAGGTGAATTGGATTTTCTTGAGGCTTTTCACATTCACAAAGATTTAGCAGGTTTAGTTAATGATTTGAAGTCCAATCCAGTCCTTCCTAATGCCTTTAAAATTCTACTATCTTAATTCAGTTGTTTTTGCCGACAGATGGCGTTACCTCCTCGCGTTTGTACTACCAGAAGGTATAAAAATCCGCTCAGTGGTTGCTTTCCATTATTTGAAGTTCAGATTTTGAGCGTGAAGGTGCATTTGCCACTCGCTCCCTATTTTAAATTTGCTAATTTTTCTTGCTTGATCAGATAGCCTGGCTCAGTAAAAGTAGGCGGCCAGTGCAACTCTGATTAAAAATCCAGTTATAACCACGTGCAGTGCTGATAAGGACCACGTGTTTCTGAGACTCTTTCTCCTTTACTTTCTTCTTTCTAAGTATTTCTTTCTCCTGATGAGGAGGGACCTTTAGTTGCCCTCGAAATCGATTGAGTGTTTCATTATATTTACGCTAAATACAAGGTTGTTTTTACGAGATTATTTATTTATTTAATGCACGCACTCTTGTATTTTCAATTTTCCGGCTTAGCTTTCTTTGCGCGAGAAATAAAACCATTTAATTTATAACTGAACTAACATTAGCTTTTTAAATACCAAATTCGTAACACTGCCCCCTTCCCAAGGACTGCACGCCCCGGGCAGTACAATCTCTGGACAGGAAGCCAAACTTACAACTGAGGCTTAAACATTACATTACAATATCAAACAACATGAACAATAAATGCAATAAATAAAACAAATCAAATGCTATCAAATACTAAATACAAAACAAATACTAAATACAAATCAAATACTAAATGCAAATCAATACTAAATACAAATCAAATACTAAATGCAAATCAAATATTAAATACAAATCAAATCAAATACACATTTATAAACAAAAAGGACCATGGTCTTATACTATTTACAATTATTTACATTACGTACTATGGGCATAGTAATGAGCTAACCTGTTGTAATGAACGACTTTAGGTTTAGAGTTTGAAGACTTACGGATCTGAACCACGACGTCATTCAGCCTGTTTAGGACTGTGTGTGGTGACCATCCCAAGGTGACTGTAATTTAGGGCTGAGTCCTTTTCATTGAATCGGGTTCCACAACCACACCTTGTCTCCTTTGTTGGATCTATGTC